GGAAAAGCCCAGCCTCCCTGCTCTCCCCAGCTGATGTGGCACGGGGGAGGTTGCAGACTTAGACGTGCAGGGGGTCAGGAGGGAGCAGGAGGCATTGCATGTAATCCAGCACGGAGGGTGCAGCTGGGGGCTGTGTCCAGGTGCTGCCCTGAGGAGGCCCTCAGGAGCATCCCTGCACAACCATGAGCATCCTCCCACCTGGCTTGGCACATGGGCCACAGAGAACCTCAAATTTTCATTACCCCTTGGTGTTTCATCCCCTCAGAGCTGCTGGTGTGGGTTAAAAATAGCCATGAGAAAACACAACCAAAACCCTGGGTGGAGAGCAGCATGAAGAAGCCATGGTTGAGTGGTCCCCTGTGCCAAAACACCTCGTTCTGCCTCCCCGAATCTGCAAATAATACAGAGAAAACAAATTAACGCTGGGGAAGGGGAGGAAAAAGAGCCAGAGCCGAGCTAGCAACATGAGGTAGAGAAAGTGGCTAAAAATAACAGATCCCTGAAGGCATGGGGAGGAACATGACGGGGATCCACACTCCTGCCATCCCAAAAGGCAGCCTTGTGCCTTCCCAGCTGCTCCTCATAACGCAGCCCTGCCCGGTGAATCCAGAGAGGGAAAAGCCTCCGGGAAGGGCGGCAGCGGGGAGGTGAGAGGTGCAGAACAGTCCCATGGAGCCAGGAGCGATGCTCCCACCTTCAGCAGAGCAGGGGGGTCCCCCAAGCACCCAGGTGCCCAGCTGGGAGGGACTGCAGCCTGACCCACTTGCAGGCAGCCCGGGGGCAGTGGGATGCTGCTGGGAGACCCCAGGGGTGCTGCCTCCGGGCTAATTTTAGCCTGTGTTCAATTAATCATGGAGCGGGAGGGGATTGCAGCAAGCCCAGCCTTTGCCAGTGCCTCCTCTTTCCACCCCGTGTGCTGCTGCAGGGATTGGAGGAGCAGGGGCCAGGTACTCTCTGATCCTGTGGGTTTGGCTGAGGAACTGAGAGACCCTGTGCCACAGTCCTCTCCTCCAGTCAGCTTTAAGAGGCTGGAGCAGCTCTGGGAAGGATGTTATCTCCTCATGCCTCAGTTTCCCCCCTGTGGCTGGCATTGGTGACCTTTGCTGTGGAATTTCTCTGGTTGCCTGTACAGCTCTGAGCAGGCATTTTCCTGGCATGTCAGAGCTCTGGAATGCCTCCCTGGTATGGGGAGCAGTGACCCCCAGCAAAGGATGTCTCAGCCAGCCCAGACCTTTGCTGCATGCCCTAAAGGCAACCCCTTTCCTGGGACTCACCAGCTCTGGTGTGTAAAGCTGAGGCAGAAACAGGAGACAGGCAGCTTTCCCAGCACAAAGGAGAGAGCCTGGCAATGCTTTTGGGGTATGAGAGCCCTGTGATCCTGCTCTCCCCACAGCCCAGCTCCACTGGTCCCCATGTCGAAAGCACAGCGTGGTCCAGCCCTCCCCCATGACAGAGGGAATGGCTCCTGACGGAAACAAGGCTCGGCTGGGATTGAAACCCTTTTCCTGCCTGCACTGCATGGCCAGAGCTGATAAGGCCTGGATAACCCCCAGCATTGTGTGTTGTGCCGGCCCATGACCCGCCAGCATGAGAGGAAACGCTGCTGCTCGGCCAGCCCGGATCCAGAGGGAGACAGTGTGCCGGTGGTGGGGTGCTGGAGTGCCCTGCTGTCTGGCCAGCCTGCTCTCCCTTTGGCCAGTGTATGAAGTTTTGGGATGGCTCTGTCAGATTGGTGCCAGCCCAGGTTGCTGTGTCAGCATACAGAGAGCTGACTGGCTCTCAGCTGTATGGTCATGAAAAAAGCTGCCAGTGTGAAAAACCTGGGGGTTCAGGGTGATTGTCTGGCACGGGCAGAGTTTGGCCCTTGGGATTTGCAATTCATCCTCTTGGGTTGGATCTTTGAACCTGGGACACCTCTGCCTGTCCCAGAGGGCAGTTCCTGGAGGCCAGGCTGGCTGAGCAGAACCTCGCCAACGCAGAGGGAGCCAGCAGCTTTGCTGTCCCACAGTGGTGGGGGCTGGCTCGCTCCCTGTGCCGGCTGCTGGCCAAGCCAGACTGCAGGAATGTGTGTGCCAGCGCGCGTGTCCTCCCAGCTCCTGCCCTCAGACGCTGTCTGTGCTGGCGTCACCCTTTCTGCCGCAGCCTCTGCCCAAACACCACGGGCAGCTTCACAAAAGAAGATGAGGAGGGTGACAAAGCACCAGCCATGCCACCAGCCACAGCCAATTGTCCAGCTTGGCACCAAAGCCAGGAGCATCTTCGACTGTGCAGTGGCATTTCCATCCCCTGCTTCCTGCCTGGCAGCAGGTCCCCCCTGCTGCCCTTTTGGCCAGGAGATGCCAGAAAAGGGCAATGCTTCCCATGGGGAATTTCATGCTAGAGTAGGGAAGCTGATCCCACTGTAATCCCACCAGCACCCCTGGACCCTGCCTCCTTCGAGAGTGTGCCGGCTCTGTTCCAAAGGGATGGGAGGAGGCAGGCTACCCAGCACAGACACACGAGCAGCTCTGGGGAAAGGCAGGATTTGTGCTTCCAGGAGGGAAAATGAGTCACAGGGGGATGACAGGGCTGTGCCAGCAGCGAGCGCGGGACTGGGGTAAGTGGTGGCTGTCGGCTGCCATCCGGGAGGTCAGGCAGAAATGCTCTTACAGGCCTTGCCTGGCTTTAAAATCTATTAATGTCATTTTGCTGTTGGAGCCGAGAGCCGTACGGGCAGCACAAACGTTCGGGCACGGCTCAGATCAGAGCAGGATTTCAATTACAGTAATCAAAGGTGACACAGATAAGAAACCCCTGGTCTATGGAGCCACGACAGCTGTCCTCTGGCTCCAACCAGCACCCATCCAGAGCAGCTCCATCAAAATCACTGAAGTGGTACTAGGGTAAAATTGGATTGGAATCCATTTTCATCTGCTGTGGTGGAAAATGCTTTCTCTGCACTCCTTGGGGAGGAAAACCACCTTCTCAGGGACAGCAAGGGAGGAAGGTGTCAGGCATGGAGGAGAGGACAATGTCCCCGGGAACAGCACTGACGGCTGCTTTTGGATGATGGAGGTAGAAGAAGGAACAGCTAGGATGCTGGAGCATCAAGGGTCTGCCTCCTGCCTTCCCCTCTCCATTTCAGCCTGGCCCCACAGTAACTGTCATAGGTGAGGCAGGGATGTGCTCAGCTCAGTGTCAGGCTCCCTGGAGGGATGGCCATCCCTCTGAGCCCCATCTGTGGCCAGAGCATCCCAGAATGTGTTGCAGGATGGACCCTCAGCCAAAGAAAATCTGGGGAGAAGGCTGGGAGGTTGGAGGAGAAGAGTCCAAGGGGCAGGAGCTGGCACTCTTCTCTTATCCTTGTAAAAGGCAAGGTGATGCACAGGGAAAGCTGCCTCCTGCTCCTGCGTCTGCCACCACTTGCATGTGGTGAATCATCCCCATTGCTTTTTGTGACTTTTTGCAAATCTTTTGAATGGCAGCAGGGCATCCCTACCTCTGACTCCCTCACCCCTTTGGGTTCCCACTCCAAGGAGTCACTGGTGCCCACTGCCACGGCCTAATGGAACCCTGTTTGCAGCCAAGCCATGGGGGCATCCCTGGGTCCATGCACACAAGGGGTCCTTTCTGCCCCTGCCCCAGCACGGCAGGATCCGGCCAAAAACACAGCATCTCTTTCTGTGCTCCCTGGCCACGCTCCAGCCTGGCCAGGTGTCAACGGCCCGGCCGCAGCGTGTCCCCCCCCACGGCGCTCCGCCGGGAGCAGGAGCCCTCTCCCAAACACTGGAGGTTTGTTCGGGGTGGCGGGGCTGAATGGTGGGTCTGTGTGGCCGGGAATGCCGGGGCGGGGAGGGAATTTGAGCCGCTTGTTTCATCTGTTTACCTGGAAGTGGAGATGGTGGCCAGGCCCAGCTGCCGCAGCGGCGGCACTTTCATGCCAGCGCTAGCGGGTTGGGGAGTGCCGTGCTGCCCCCGACACCGTGCAGCCTGCAGCATGACAGCCATGGGGACACAGCAGGGACTTGGCAGGGCACTCCTCTCTCCATGTGCCTGCACAATGCTGAGCCCTCCTGCTCGCTGCAGTGGAGAGCTGGAGCCTGGGGAGGGATGTGGGGATGACCCCAAGCGATCACAGGGGTGGGTGATACTGCAGGTCATCCTTTGTCCTGCAGCATCACTATGTCCCAGGGCTCTACAGAGTCCCCCTGCATGTGTCCCCATGCCAGCTGGGTCCCCATTCTGGCTGTGTTCCTCATACTGTTGGCCATCTCCATCCTGGCTGCACCAGGATAGATCTCTGTACCAGCTGTGGTGTCCCACACTGGCTGTGGACACCTGTACCAGCTCTATCCCTGTGTGGGTTGTGCATCCCTGCACCAGCAGTGTCCCCATGGGAGCCACTTAGCAGCTCTGGGAGAGAGGGCCACCCATGCAAGTGCCGGGTTTTGTCCTTGCGTGAGGCAGGACTGACAGCCACACACAAGCTGCTGGGGAGAGAAGGGGGATGATAGCATCTTCCAGTCAGAGCCTGGATGCACGGGGATTAATGCAGCTGGCTCGCCTTCCCCAGGATTCAGGTTGCCTTATCTGTGTCTATCTGTTCTTACCCAAGCACTGCTAGAGCTGCTCCGATGTGTGCAGCTAATCCCAGAGGCTGGCAGATAGGGCAGGGACTGCTGCTTCCACCCACACCCTGCCCACGCCCGCAGGGCCAGGGGCACAGAGCTGGGCTGTGACCTGTCCTGGCACAGGCCAGCTGATGCTGGGGATAACCAGAGGCACGGGGCAGAGGTGCAGGAGTTTGGTGGTCTCAGTGTGGCAGTTGTATGTGCAGGGCTGTGAGGCAGGCATTGCCTCTGATCCTGATTTTAAGGCTGCATCACCTTCCAGTTCTCCCAGCAAAGCTGTGTCTGCTCAGTTCATCTCTGTTCATCTTTCAACTCAAAATTAAGTTACTGCCCCATGGGACTGTCTCTGGGAACTTGTGGCTGTTCTTTGGTTAAGTAGATTTCTCTGTCTTTTGGATACTTCAGGCATTTGGGGAGGGTTGCAGATGGTGAAGGGGCTGGGTTACCCACAGAGGCTGGCACTGTGTCATGCTCAGAAGACAGGGAGCAAGGGCTAGATCATTTCACCTCACACCACACAGATGTGGCTGCAGCATCCCTGGCTCTTCCCAAGTATCTGGAGGACCTACAGGCCCTGACTGCCAACACTGGTGCCATCAGGAGTGTGTCTTTTCTCTGGCTCTTGGCACTTCTTTCTCCATTCTGTGTTGGCTCCTCATACCCTGGGACAGGAGGAACATCCGAGGCTGTGCTTCGGCACCATCCCAAATTTCCGACCTGGTGCACACAGTGCCATGGTAACACTTTATTTTTTCAGCTGCTTCCCTATTTTCTTTGCAATTGGGCTCTCTCACTGGGTGATGGTGACCACAGGGGCTATTTGGGCAGGGTTCAGCATGCTGCAGAGCAAGCAGCTTGTAGCGTGGTGCCTCGTGGTGGCCTGTCCTGCCATGTGCCCCACACCTCGCACGGCTCTGACCCTCCCTGGCCACAGCATAGAGGGAAAAACACCACCTGGGCTTGGGGGTGACTGCTCAGCTCTGCACACCCCAAAGTTGCCCTGAGACCTCAAAGCTACCCATTTCCCATGGGCTGTACAGCTCCCTGTACCATAGACTTGGACTCTGCAGACTGATGTCCCCAAGGTCACCAATGCCACCAGAGTTCTGCATCTGTGGCAAAATGGCACTGAGCATGGTGAAGTGGGTGCCCAGCATGGCTGGCACTGCTCTTGCTTCCACAACAGTCCTTCCTCTGTTCCCAGCCTGTGGCTCCTCCAGAGCATCTTTCCTGAAACCTCCTGACCCTGCGACAGTGGGGTTTAAAGCTATAAGGAAGGTGGCCTGGAGAAGGCTTCAAAAAATGCCAGTGGGGAACCACGGGAAAGGAAACTATGCCAGGGGGAGAATGGGGTCAGGAGAGCACAAGCCCCCAGGACCCTTTGTGAACAGGGATTGGAGGACAGTGACAGGAGTTTGGCAATGCAAAAAGCACAAGCAAGAGCTGGCCCTGACCAAACAGCCTCCCGGGGCAGTTTCAGGAGCAGTCACAACCACTGAGTGGCTGCACATGTCTGAAGGAAGCTCTGCTCTGCAGCTTCTGACAGCTGCTTCTGCAAGAGCCTTAAATTGAACACTAGGGGTGCTTCAGAAGGAGAAGCCTGAGTGTTTTGGGGACCAGAAAAATTCAAGAGATCCTAGACAAATTCACAAGCCATCAGTCTTGACAGGAATCTGGTTTTTTCAGCAAGAAAGACAAAAGCCTTTGTCCAAGTTGTTCCCATCTAGCTTTTAGTGGGATTAGAACTGCAGTGTCCTGTGCTGGCAGGCATCCCCCAGGCCAAGCACAAGCAGCCCCTGAAATCACTTTGTGCAGGCCTCAGAGTCCATCTCAGCATCCTGGCGCTTGCTGCTGCCATCACTTCCAATTTAGACCTGCTCGTGGCAGAGACCAATATAGAAGCACTCTGCAGGATGGCACTTTCCCTCCCCAGGGAGCCAGTGCTGGCACTTTGCTCTTGCTGCTCACCAGCTCCAAGGAAGGCTGAGGAGCTTGAATTACATTTTTCCAAGAAAGGTGGATTTGGTTTGCAGAAATCTAAGGACTGGGGAACAGTTGTTCTGCTCTGTTGAGCCTTTCTGCCATCTGGAACAGCTTTTGGTTTCCTTCTGGATACCTCTTCCATGAGATGGCAGGACAGGGAGAGGGGCAATGGCATCACAAGGACCCCCAGGGAGGGGAAGGATAAGCCGATGGAGTCAGGGGACACATGGGTCTGTCCCTGTGCGCCTGCTTCACAGGGGTGGGTGAAAGTCATCCCAGGCAAATGGAGAGCTGATTTAGGGAAGGGCTTGGAACAAACCTCACTGTGGAAGGTTGTGGAAGCCCCCAGTCAGGCTATCCATGGCATGTGCCCACTCTGCCCATCCCCTCAGCAGGGTGGTGGCCGTGAGATCCTGCAGCCACTGCTTCTCATTCTGCATTTTCCAGCCCAGGGGCAGAGAAAGCCTCATTGTCTCCATCTTCTCTCTTTTCCTCCTGGGGAAAAACATAAAAGCAAAGTCACCACATCAGGGCTAGATTACTCAGGGACTGAAGAGGGAAGAGGACGTCCAGGGCAGTGGGCACTGCTAACCCCAGCCCGCTGGGTGAGGTTTCTAATGTCTAGTAAGGGGTTGGTTCTGCTGCAACTTTATCCTCAGTAAAGCCATAAAAAATGTCTCCCATTCCTCCAGTTGCCTGTTCCTACAGAAACTGGGGCAGAACTGGGTCTCTTGGGCATGGTCCTCCCCACAGTTGGAAAACACCCCACAGAGCTCTTCCAGGGGCTGGACACCAGCTCCCATCAGCCCTGCATGGCTCTGAGCCACTCATGTCCATGCCACATATTGGTGTCCTCTGGTCCCTCCCAACTGCTCTGTGCCAAACACTTCCTGTGTGGTGGATTTGATTTGGTGTCTCCGAGGCTGACACTCAGCTCAGGACCACGCTGCCACTGCCCAGGCAGCCTGTGCTGCCCTCAGCATCCAGTGCTTGAAACCACAACCTCATGGTGAGCATCCTCCCTGGAGAGGCTGCTCTCTGCAATTAATCCAGGCATGGTTTATGCTAACGACTCTCCCCACTTTAAATTATAAATGGCCCTTGGCATGTGTGCACACAAACACATGTGTGTGTGCAGAGATCCTTTAAGGCCATCATTAGCTGTAATTAGCAGGATCTGTCACTCATCTTTGGCAGTTAACGATGAGCCCTGAGTCAGAGGAATCCAGCGGCAGATAAAATAAACACGATTTCAAACAGTTTGGAAATAACAAGCCCTCATTAATCAGACAAGCCCCAAAGGGAAGTGCTTGGAAAAGTGGCAGCTTCTTTGCCATTGCTGAGAGTGGGGCTGGGTGGGCTCTAGGACAGCCTCTGTGCTCCCCAAACCCCCCTCCAGTGGGAATGGGAGGCAGGATATTCTCTCTTGGCTGACTTCATTGAGGGCTGAGGTGTCAGAGCCAGTCAGCTTGAGCAAAAACCTGAAAACTGGCAAAACCTACCCAAAAGGGCTCCCGCATGGCCCCTCTGTGGGTGAAGGCAGCTGAGGCACGGCCTAGCCCCGGGGTGCAGGTGGGGGAGATGCTGGTGCAGGGCTCAGCTCTGGACAGAGATGAAGCAGCTCTGGGGCAGCACATCCCACAGCCATCACTCACCCCAAGAGCTTAAAGGCTGTGTGGAGGGAGCATCCCCAGGATCCAGCAGCACAGGGAAGAGAGGATTTGGGAAGGGGCTGGTATAAGGGATGTTTCCTAGGGAGCAGGGGGACAAGGGGAGACTTCTAGCTGTCACAGCTGCAGCTAAATAACAGCAAATAGGAGGGGAATGGGACACATGAGGCTGGTTTATATTACAAAGGAGCAGTCCATCATGGGGTATTTAAAATAATCCGCTTAGATGCACAGTAGCAGATTTGGAGCGCTAAGGGAATTGAAGGCGCTGTGGCTTTGCAAGACTGGATCAGATCTAGTTAAGATGCCACTTAGGACAGTACATCCCGATCCTGCCTCACTGCCCCAGGGGACAGGCACACAGCATCTGCAGCCCCTGCAAGGCCAGTCCCACTCTGCCAGGGACACACCCAAGGTGACACTGGCCACATCAGGATGGGTGACAATGTCCTGTGGCAGCTCCCTGGGACTGGCAGCAGGTTTGGGCAGGACATGGTCTGGACTAGGCACAGGACAGGGGATTCCCATGAGGGGCCAAGCCTTTGGAGTGGTGGAGGTGGTGCTTGGGGTCCAGGGGAAGCCAGGTGCCTGGTAGAGAGCTGGGACAGGGGATGCTATGAGAGAGCTGCACCCACACTCCCAGGGGTGGGAACATCCTCTAAGGGTATCCCTGTGGCATTTCCTGCTCAGCTGGGGCGGGGGACAGGGACCTGGTGTGGTAGGCTGGGCCCAGGTGCTTCAGGGGAAGAGCTGGAGCTGGGACTGCTCTGCCTCTGCATGGCCTTGCAAACCCCCAGCATGGCCAGTGGCTACAGAGGAGGGTGGCTCCTATTGCCACAAGCTAGGGAGTCCTCTGCTGGGGTCTGGGCTCAGTTTGGGGTCTGTGTGGGCAGGAACATGGGCTGTCTGAGCATCCCTGGCATCCTCACTCTGCTCCTCTGAGCCAGGCTGAAAGCTCAGCCCTAGGGAAGCCAGTTTTTCCTGAGAGAGGGATTTCATCCCAGAGACTTCATTACAGGCAGATATTCCCCCAGAAGAGTACCCTTCCAAGGGCAGATGGTTTCCACCTTGGCCAGGCTCAAGGGGTTCAGCCTGCAGTGGCCCTGCAGAGCCAGAGCAGCAGCAGCCAGAAGTGACCCTGTCACAGGGCTGCTCCTCACACTGCCCATCCCTCTGCTCCCAGGGAGGGCAGGGCCCAGGAACATGCCCACAAAATCTGAGGCTGCATGTCAGACCAGGCCACAGGGCTGCCTGTGCCTCTTTTTGTCCTCACCCCGTGCCCTCTGTCCCCCTCCGACCCCACTACAGGGCTGTGCTCAACACGAGGGCTCACTCTGGCAGGTTTAAACACTGTCCCCAGCTCCCCTAAGCATTAATCCAAGGGAGGATTAAGGTTACCAAGCTCCTGGAGCCACCCAGCTCTCACATCTCCCACAGTGGACCCCTCTGTCCTGGCCCCAGAGAGGGCACAGGGCTCTGCTGTCTCCCTGGCACTTGCTGCTGTCCCCCCTGAGCCCCCAAGCTCTCATCCCGCAGCAGGAACCTCACTGGGGTTGTGCAGCACCTTCTCACCTCTGCAAACTGGGGACCAGAGATCATCTCTGGGGCTTTGGGGGTTTCCAAGCCTCTGTGACCAACTTCCCCCTGCTCCCTGCAAGGCCTGGGGTGGGTTTTGGGATGGGCATGAGCTTCTCCCCCCTTTTCTCCCCTGTCCCCCAGGTGCTGTGCTCTGGGGCAGCTCTGGGTTCATGACAACTAGTTTAAATGCATGGAAAATACCTTAATCCTGGTAAGACCCTGATCCCTGCCTGCTCATGCTTCCCATGAAAGCCCCCCACTTCAGCCATAATCCCCTGGAAGAGGTCATCTGTGCACCTTCCATTTGTGGGAGCAAGGGACTCCCTCCAGGGCACCCACAAACTCCTGGGGTTGGCACACAAGGTCCTGGCTAGTACTGCCCAGGGAGTCCTGTCACCTGCAGGGAACAGCAGGGATATAGATGCTTCTGCCACATGGCCAGTGGCTCCTGCCACCCTCTTGTGCCCCCTTAGGGCCACCAGCTCCAGAAGCTTTCAGAGAGAACCAAGTAAGTGTAAATTATTTTTACATGGTTATGATAATTTTTCATTTCTGTTTTGAGTTGCTGTATACTCCACAATGACCAGAACTCCCAGCCTCCCAGTCTCTATCCCCTCACAACTCCTGCCCCATCCCATCCAGAGGGCTCCCCAGGGCATGGGATTGGAGGAACCCCTGGTTTATGGGAGAAAGAGGGCTTTGGTTCAGCCCCCAGTCCCATTTCCCCAGCATCAGGAGCTTCCACTGCCTTTACCTGCCCTGACCTGTGGCCCCACGAGCTGTAATCCCCCTCCTGCTGCACCCGCAGGATCAGAGGCTGCCAGTGTCCAACCCATCCCAGAGAAAGGAGGGCACTGGGGGTTGGTAATAAATCCTAATGATATCCTGGGGAGAAGGGTAGAACAACAGGTTCTCACCACTCCCTTGCGTGGCAATAGGAAAAGCCTGTGTTTGCAGAATTGCCTGTTGTATTTATCAGAAGCAAGGACAATGCTGGGATAGAGGCTGAGCCGAGCTTTTAACCAGCCAGATTACACTTAGCAGGAGCATTTACCTCTGCCTCTAATCCGCCTGCCACAAAGACTTGCTAACTCCTTCCCGGATTTAACTGGAAGGCTTCAAATCTTCCTGCAGAGGAGAGAGTTAAGCCCGAGCGGGTGCTGGAGGGCTACGAGGGTCAGGGTCACAGCTCCTCCTTCTCAGGCACATCAGGTTTGGGCCGGACATTTAAGTTCCAGGCTCAGTTTTTTTTCTGGCAACAGGCCCTGCAGTCAGGACAGGCAGGGGATGGGAAGGTGCCAGGAGCCCTTCAGTCCTTGGGAGCACAAAATCAGAGCCTATGCAGAGAAAAGATTTGGACATTCTTGAGCAAAAATTACTGCTGCTTAAACACAGAGCAGAGGAAAAAGCTCTGGAGGAGTCACCTGGTTGGAACAGTCCCTTGTTTTTAGCTGGATTTCTTGTAAGAACAGAAAATACCCATAGCCAGTGCTGGGTGGCTGGGGAAGGTTGGGATGGCTGCTGTAGGATATGTTCATGCTCCCAACACCAAGTGTCACCTGACACATGGCCAGTGTCCCCTGACTCCCCCATCCCACCCTGGAGCAGCCACATTCTCCACTGCCTGCACAGGGCCAGGCCCATCGACCCTCAGAGCCCAGGACACCTATGGCACCAACCCTCATGCCACAGAGATCTGTGCCAAGCAGAATCCCTCCCTTGACGGGCATTCCCTCGCAGGATGCTTTGCATCCATGCCGGGATGGCAAGAGACAAAACCCCTGGTCCTTGGCCCTGCAGCACATCCCTGTGGCACCCCCAGCACAGTGACCCCAACACCACCGGGACCATGGTGCCTCAAAAGGGGATTTTGGTGCAAGGCTTTGGGGCAAGGGGACAGGGATGTGGCACGTGCTGATGTCACTGAGCTGGCTGGCACTGGGCAGCGCACGGCACTGTAGGGGACACACCAGCAAAGATGGTCTGAGTGGGAGAGCAGCCAGGAGAAGGGCTGGAGCTCTGTGCCTGGCTCCACAGAGCCTGGGCTGCCCACCGTCGGCCTCACCCCACACCCTGGCACTAAGCCTCGCATGCCAGGGTCACAGCCTGAGCTGGGAAAGATGCATGAGCTGAGACAGCAGAGCCAGAGATGAAATCTCCCCTGGCTTCTGGGAAGCCGGCAGTGTCGGAAATTTCCCTCCCAGCACTGCTGCGTGGGAGGGGACAGCGGGTCCCCTCGGCCAGGCC